AATTAGATTAGATTTTTTTTTTAAACTGGTGGTTATGGCAAAACAGAATATAATATTTCAGGCGTAACATTTGATAACGGCACAAAAGCTTTTGTAAGAAAACTTTTTAAGGCCTTTCGGAAAGGTGAAAGGAGCATGGTTTCTGCAGTTTATAAGAGGCGGTATGAAATTGAATAAATACACAAAATCCAGTGGAAGCATTTATGGTTGACCAATCTGTGAAAAATCTTTTATCGTTACTTACATGGTGGTACTTGATTGCAAAAATTGAGGGAACAACCATCGACCGATGGTGATCTGGTATTCCATGGATTTCTTCCATCATGGTCAGATCAAAATTTACAGAGGAACTATAGAAGGCTTGAAAGCAATCACGATTGGAGACTAATGAAGAAGGACCAACCTCCACCGTCATGTACTCGTAATAGAGACTCATGAATCTTGTTTGAGGATTTCGGTCGAGCAGCATCTCAAAGTGTTCTATTACCAAAGGATTCATTACTTCACACCGGAAGAGAAACCGGAAGGACAGTTCCGCGAAACGATCTGTCAGTGGGAGAACACCCGCGAGTACTTCGAGGCTCATCGTATGCGTCGAGTGCATACAGCCAATCGCGATTCGGAGGCAACGGTAATGAACCCATTGCAGCTTGAGGATATGTGTCTTTGCCTTGGATTGAAAGCAGAAGCTACCGTACTCTAAAACCGAAAGGATGGTTGTTCGGTACAACCTGATCAGATCTTTCGGGTGGGCTCCCCACCAAGCTCCGGTAATTGTACGAAGAAAATTAATCCTTTGCTGGCATTTTTGTTTCAGATACGCAATATGTTTTCCCCATGTGCATTTGGAATCGAACCAGACACCTAAATACTTTGAGTGATTGTTTTACCCATTAGCTGAAGCTGTAACTGTGCAGGATGATGCTTCCTAGAAAAAACAACCAACTTAGTTTTCTCCAGAGAGAATTCGATACCCAGCTTCATAGCCCAAGTAGACAAATTGTCTAAGGTATCTTACAATGGTCCTTGCAGGTCCGGTGCACTTGGTCCTATAACGGACACAGCGCCGTCATCTGCAAGCTGCCTTAGCGAGCAATTTTCATCAAGACAACCATCAATGTCTTTTACATAAAAATATTATAAAGAAGGGGGCTTAAAAACATGAGCCCTGGGGGAGACCCATGTAACTAATTCGTGAAGTTGTCGAGTTTCCATGAAAAAAGCTCATATATTTCTCAGACAACAAGTTGCTCAAATAGTTGTTCATAATTGGTGAAAGCCCACTATCGTGGAGTTTATCCGAAAGGACATCGATACAAACAGAATCAAAAGCCCCCTTAATGTCCAAGAAATCAGAATCCATTTGCTGTTTGGCCTATGCGTCAGTTAAATTTCAGTTGAAAGCAACGCAAGACAGTCGCTCGTTCCTTTGCCTCTCCGAAATCCAAATTGTGTATATGAAAGTAATTGTTGGTAATTGCAATAAAACTAGTTCCATCGAAATAACCTTCAGCAAATCCTAAAAGGTACCGTCTATAAAAAACGATTTATTAAAAACAATGCACCAAACAATACTAACTACAGGTATACCTCGATATAACGTAGCTGTCGCTTTTGACTTCCATCGTCAATATCTCCCTAATAACAATTGTATAATACAAATTAATAGAATGGGGCGACCCCGGCGTAGTGGTTAGCATCCATACCTCTCACGCCAAAGTCACGAGTTCAAATCTCACCCCCGGACAAGTCACGAATGACCCAAGAGCGTTAAAGTGACTATAATAATAATAATAATAATAATAATAATAATAATAATAATAATAATAATAAAAAAACAAATTAATATTACCAATGGGTGGAGGATTATCTCATCTGTCCGATGGTGTTATTACTTTGCTTGTTTGAATGAACGTTTAAGAGAAGTCGACGATGGAAGTCAAAAGTGACAGTTACGTTATATTGAGGTATACCTGTAGTTGTACTCCTTTTTTTCCTTGATTTGTTTTCCGTCGATCTTGTTTACCTATCGACCCATGAACTCATGAACCGGAGACCAACGGCTTTACTTCCCCTCCGAAGGAAGGTGTGATCAGAGATGTTATGCCTCAGAACATCCCGGCGGCGCCGACTGGGATTGAACCCATGCCTGCTGGGGTGAGAAGTAATCACGTTTACCACTACATCACCGCTGTTACTAATTCTACTTAGACTTATTTCAACTCCTTCAACATATTAACTGTTAATCACCATGCTCCTCCATATCGGTATTTTTTAAAACTTGCGTAGCTAACATTTTCTTAAAAAAAAAGATTTTCCTCCCATTTTATCAGTTCTTAACCGATTTAGATGAAATAGCTTTAAATCGATCAGGAATTGGATCATTTTTTTTTATTTGCTGATTTAGTTGAGCATAGTTTTTGCCGAGTATTAAACGTGGGGTTAAAACTATTGTATTTTTCAAAATTACCCATAGCTCTAAGGAATCTAAAACTATTCAATTCCCGATCCCCGATAGATTGCAAGCTGTTTCATCAACATCGCTTCAGAAATGATGAAATGGTAGCAATATCTAATTTGTATACTAAATAGCTTTAGGTACCAAAACTATAAAAACATAATGTTTTAGCCGCTTGGGGGCAAACTGGAACCCATAAATTCTAAGATAATTTCTCATATAATCTATAGCATATGACCCTTTCGAACTGTTTCAGTATGTTGTGCAGTATGAATTTACAAAGAGAAGATTGTTTTTTCATACCACTGAACATATATCATGAAATAAATTTCATAGTTAAGAGAAACCTACACAAGTTTATTTAAATGGAGCCTTAAATTGTTGGCTTTTGAACACACAAATCATCAAAATCAGCTGATTTAGCGACGTTCAAAGTGTTGTCAAAAGTCTAAATCTCATTCAATAATAACGAAATTTTAAGAAAACGTTATTCAATGTATGAGAAACCAATAAAACAAAAATAAAACATAATTTTTAGAGGTTTTGTCCGGCCACTGTGCGCTGGTCAAATGTTTTGAGGATAATAAATTCAATTCATAACATCAGCTAACACGACTGTTACATTTTAGAATCTAATGATTTATAACAGATTACTCATATACAAACCTGTACTATAATCTTGCATTTCCTGGTGGGCTTAAATGATGAAGCATTGTCCTTCATAAAAAGGGACTGTTCTCCATTGCACATGCATGTTACTTTTTTCTCAGTACAATGGTTCAGATTGTTCCGAAAAAAGCACAAAACACAAATTTGCCTTCCATCTGTTCAAACCAATTCGGTTCCCCCATTATTGTTTTCAACGCTTTGAATAATGCCGAAACTTCAAAGTAAATCAAAAGCCTATTTGTTCCGTGCGTTCTACTTGAACATATCGAGCAGTTCCACACCAAATGACAAATCGATCAGACTCGGCGTTCTCCGTTTGGAATGAAACTTTTCAAGATTGTTTGTTAGCTTTAAAAGCGGATATTTTGAATCTAAAAAAAAAGAGAAAAATTGTGTATTCGATATTTTTTTACAAATCATAAATTGAAACCGTCACTTCTAATCAAAATAACGTCTGAGACAAAGTTTTCAGAAAAAAATATACATGGTAAAAAAGTCTAAATCATACTTAGATGTGTAAAAGCTTACAAAAACTTGTATAAACTTAAGTTCATAAATTTAACCAAAAGCTGTTTTCGTCAATTGTAAGTGTCTAAGTGTCCAACATGGAATTTTCACAGAAGTTTTTATGAGCTTATAAATAAAAAAACATTCATCAAATATTAAAAAGGATAAATTTAATTAATTTGTAATTAACATTTTAAACACTATTCTAGATTTTTCACCCAAAATTACTTGAATTCTTTTGCTATTTATATTTTTTTCTGAAAACGAATTAGTTTGTCTTACAACTTTGTCCCAGATGTTATTTCGATTAGGAGTGACGTTTTCATGTTCTGATTTGATGAACAATATCGAATGCACCATTTTGAATATTTTTGCATGATTCAAAATGGCCGAATGTTAGGTCAAACGTGAATGATCCAATCATGCAAAGTTTCATGCAAATCGGAAAAGGTCGAGTCAGAAATTCCTTTTCCTTGTACTATTTGGCCTGGAAATGCTCTAAGTCGTGTGAAATAGACAGTACGACAGCGCCCTCGCAGAGTGAAATGGAGATTGATGTAATTCAAAAATCCATTAGTGTAAAAAAGTTTTATTTCATGCTCGGTTTTCCGTTCACCGTTGTCAGCCGTGACATCGTCGTCAAACTCTCCCAAGGGCACCGTTGGTGTTCGTACTAGGGGACTGCTATCTGCTGTGGAAGGTGCGTTCACACGACGTGTAATGGTTTTACATCCGTTGAATAATTATTCAAAAGCAATCAAGGTCCAGGTTGTTTGCCAACCGAAGAGTGGCGACTGCTGGTTGGTTGGATGGATGGATGGATAGATGGATGGATGAAGTTACATTTAGATTCGGAAGTGGGAGTCATAGCAGCTGATTGCGTATTCAGTAAAAAAATTGAGCAAAAACTTTCACGCCATCGCGAACGCCGGAGGAAAACTTGAACTTGAAAGCTGAATAAATAATTTATGAATAGCACTTGTTGAGCGCTCGTGGTAGGCTCTAGGTTGTTGTACCATCAATTGTGTTCGGCTGATGGTGTTGTGTTCGTAAATGGAGGAAATTCATCCGAAAAAAGGCAAATGCAGTTATAAATAGATATGATTTGAAAATTAGATAATGAAAAAGAGTTTCTCTGGAAATCACCTACTTCCGAATAACCATCATTCTGACTGACCTCTTATCGCAATGTTCTGCATGAATTACACCGAAATACAGCACTTTGAAACAACGAACTCGTATGAAGCTAAGTACCAACGCTATTAAATGACTCAACAGTTTGCATGAAACGAGCGGGCATCATTACCAAGCAAACGAGCTCCCAACGCGACGCTTAGCCATTAAATAGTGTGTAATTTTCACTTACGTCTTCACGGGGACCTTTCCGCTCTTGTCGACCTGCAGGCAAAGTTTGGTGTACGCTTTCTGGAGGAACATTATCGCGGGCCCGTTCAGCTGAGTCAGATTATATGCCATCCGGATGAGCTCGTCGCTCCATAACTGCAATGAAAGAACCGAGAAAAAAAATGAAGTTTAGTGCTACTACATGAACATGTTGAAACAGGAAAATACACCGTGCACATCCTGAACGGAAGCGATGACCAAAAAGGCCAACGTTTGATCAAGCGAAAGGTAGCACCGTGGCAGCAAATGCTACAGATCTGGTGCCGTGGGCAGGTGAAACTTTTAATTAGTGTTTTTTTTTCTGGGCTAAGTTCTTCCCGGGAAGAATCCAGCAGTGAATGTTATTTTTCTGATCCAGTATGTTCCGTTGGCATCTCTATTTAAAGATGTTCATTGTCTGAATAAGTTACATTCCCCAGCAGAAAAAATAAAACATTTCCTCTATTATATTATTGAAAGTATATCTAGCATAGCAACTTGCACTGGCAGCAACGACGATAACCTCACCCTAAATAGTTCAGCTAAAATGAGAAAGTTATCTTTTCACCGGGGCGAAATGAAAGCATCAACGGAAGAATGCAGCCGGAAGCTGTTGCACATCAGGATATGAGTGAGTTGCACTGACCTACATTAAAACAGCTGTTTATTTTGAGTACACTCTCAGCGCAAAAAGAATACAGGCGAGGTGGATGAAGTTCCCTAGCTCATTACTGACATGTGGAAAAGTTGTGTTTCCCGTTTGTGTTGTTGCTGCTTTTTGACATTGGCAGTTTAACGGTGATGTTTGCTTTACTTGGTTGAGTATGTGAAGAAACTGTTGAGAATATTAGACGTTGCTTTGTGTATGAAATGTGTGTCCCTGTGTGTTTATCTGGATATGCAGCAACATATTGAGGAAACAACATGGTTTTTTTGTGATGCTTTATGTATTTTGTAATTTGATCATAATACGCCATTAACAACATTTTGTTACCAAAATAACAGAAAACTAGTGTAGAAGAGATAGCGGCGTAATTGCTTCTCAGCACAAAAAGCCTGGGTTCAATCCCAATTCAAGACCAACAATTGTAATGGCCTTAACTCCATTTTGTAAACAAACCTTGTAAGCCCATTTTCTCGCGAACCGCCCATTTTCTTGCAAACCTAAACCACAATCGGGTAGAGGAGAATTTCTCCTACCTGTTCATTATGTTGGTTTGCCTTTGCCGACTTCGGGTCGCGAGAAAATGGCCTTACAAGGTTTGTTTACAAAATGGAGTTAAGGCCAATTCAATTGTTGGTCTTGAATTGGCACCGCCGGGATTTTCTGAGGCATAACATCTCTAATCAAACCTTCCTTCAGAAGTTGCTCCTCAGTCCATGAGCTGATGGGTCGTTAAGTAGGGTCCGGGTGAGAGAGCTGCCTCCCTTACGTTGGTAGCATTGGTACTCAGTACGGAAAACAAGATCTAAGGAAAACAAACCAAGGAAAAAATAGTGTAGAAGAGATTTGACGTAATGCACCGATGCCAAATCTGATCAGAAGAGATGCTTTCGATACACCGGGAGAAATATTCGCTTTATGCATTCCATTTAATGAAATTAAGTCGTCCCCTTTGTGAAAAAAATAGAAGAGTGTAAGCCGCATATGAAAATAGCATGCCAGACCGGCATTTTCTGACCGAATTTTTCCAGATCAACAGTTCTATCTGCAGCACACAGTGGATCCAAAGTCTTCTTTAGGAGGAAACAATTGTTTACGAATAAAACATTATTTTTTTTGGAAAATAGTATATTCAAGTTCATTTGTTTTAGCCAATCTTTTAATGTGAGTGAAATTAGGGTGGTCTCTATGGTTATGGAGCGCTAAATATCAACTTGTTAGTTGTTGGAGATAGACCGGCACATTGTTGAACAAAGTTGTAGAGCAGTCAATTTGAAGCAACTTTGCTGGAGACACCAATTGTCTATCTCTAATTTTTCAAGATTTATACTAGTTTGTTAACAGTATCGTAGGGTGACCCCAAAAATTGTTTTTATTAAATTAAGTTTCCATGCAATGATATCTCGTTATTGATTTATTCTAAAAACATTCAGAACTTTTGATGGCATTTATTTTATGAAAAAAAAAAACAACCTGCTTTTTCATTTAGTTAGAAAGTTACAAACGATTTTCGTTAAAAAAAATAAGACACGTAAGCAAAATCCGGGGGCAGCGATGTGCAGCCAAGTAAAAATTAATTTGAGAATTCTTAAGCATATTTTGCAAGAGGTTTGGTGAAGGCAAGAGGTTTGGTGTCAGCGTCAATTTTTGAAAATTAAAAGAAACGTTTTATGATGGGCCTTCCACTGTGCAAATGTTAAACATAATTGATTAAATTCATTAAAAACATCAAAAAACAAAACTTTATTTAAACAAATATGTACAAAGGTGGACAACTGAAACTAAATATTATAACTGATGGAATAATGTTTATTGAATTAACTAAATTCAAGGTAAAAAATTTATCGACCCAATACACTCGTTTACACGACTTGAAAAATGTTTAGGGTTCCAATAATTTGTTGATTTTTCAAAATTATTTTTAAAACTCCAAAGAAATGCAGAATTATTTCTAACAAAATCAGAGAAAATCTTAGAAAACACATGACATCAAAACCTTGAATTTATTCTGCGAATAAGTCCAATGTTGTTCAAGTTGTACTCCTGGGTAATTCTAAGGAGAATAGCTGGTTTGAACAGTCTGCAGTCTATACTGCGAAGGGTCCGCAGATCCTGTTGTTGTTTCTGTTGGTTCGCTTTTGAGAACCATTTTCACTGGGTCGTCGTGCGGCATTCTTACGACGTGCCCAGCTCACCGTAGCCGCCAATTTTTTACAATGTCGACGATGGATGGTTCTCCCAGCAGCTGGTTCAATTCGTGGTTAATTCGCCTCCTCCACGTTCCGTCATCTTTCTGCACTCCACCGTAGATGGTACGCAACACCTTCCATTCAAAAGCACCACGAGTCCTCCACGAGCATTGTCCAGGTCTCGTGGCCGTAGAGGACCACCGGTCTAATCAGCGTCTTGTAGATAGTCAACTTCGTGTTATGCACCGTCGAGAGTTTTGAGCGAGTTAACAACCCCACATAGCAACGACGCGATATGCTGACGATGGCATCGTTCATGTGGAATATCGTACACCGTCTTTGGCAACAACGATGGTGATATCGACGGAGGATTGTTTATGCTGAGTAGATTCGACCGTCGTGGGACCATTATTGCTGACTAAGATTCTCAGCATGGACTTCGAATACATTTAGTAAAGGAATAAAACTCAGCCTTGCTTGTGCAGTAGTACCGTACGTGTCGGTTTTAATTTTTTAAAACCGCTTCCAACGTAGAATAAGTTAACTGGCGCCCGAATGTGGGACCTTCGTGTGAGTGTTAATCCAGTGAAAATCTAAAAAGTGGTGCAACAAAAAAGTTCTCCATTTAAATGGTAGCAAGAGCCGTACTGGAGAAATTAACGGTAGTGAAAAGCAAATCTGGTTTCGAGAACCAGCGCCTTACACAACGAGCGAGACCGGAGCCACTGTGGATTGTGAATACTCCCGATCGGTATCAGGGACCCCAGTAGCGGCATCAAAAAGGATAACCCCGAAGCACCTGCTCCAGCCTCCTCCTCCACGAAGGAAACAACCGTAGGAACCCGAAACCCCAAAAAGTCCAGGCATCACAGCGACGATGCTGGCATTTCTATGTATAGTGCCACTAATTTTTGGATTTGGTACTACTCAGACGATCTCAGTACACAAAGCAGATGCCCTACCCCTTTTCTTATATGGCAGAGGACATGGACGAATACAAACCGACTATCATTATTACATCCATCATTTCAACTTAGAATCATTCAAAATTCATGTGCTAGATTTAAAATCAAAATTCAAACAAGTAGAAGCGAATCAGTTCACCATTCTTATCCTAGATAAATTCAATGAGTTAGATTCAAACTTAAAAAATCTTTTGCCATTTAAAAGAAGGAAAAGATGGAACAGCATAGGAACAGTTTGGAAGTATTTAGCGGGAAGTCCCGACGCTAACGATCTTAAAATCAACAATAGTTCGATTAATGGTCTCATTACCAATAACAATGAACAGGTTAGAATTAACAGGGAAATCTCATTACAAATGAAAGAAGCACTGTTCAAAACTAAAGAATCCATTCAATTGTTCAACTCAAAATCATCCGAATTGTATTCTATAAACATATTTTTGAACCTTAATTTTCTAAACGAGAAATTATATCAAATTATACAAACATTAGCAAAAGCAGGGATACTTAATGAAAAAGTGTTAAGTCAGGCCGAAATTGATTTACTAGTTAAGAATTTACGCAAGGAGAATCTGACAGTTTGGAACATCGCTGAAGCACTAACCTACGTCACCACATCTATAGTCACCAACGAATTCGATATCGCACTTCTACTCAAGCTACCGAAGTTGGATCCCAGGGTCTTCAAGAAAATTTATGTGTTACCAATATGGTTCCATCGGCAACAACTTCATATTTCCAATAGTAACTACATAAATTACGGAAACGAGTATTACACCGTTAGCAGCCTACAGCCAACGATCTTCAATTCCAAGGACATAACACTGGATTCTACGACGTGTGTACCAAACCTGCTAAACGGGAAAACAGCCAAATGTGATTATTTAGCCAATCCGGTGGAAGAGATCGTGTCGATTGATAACCAACACCTCATCACGAATATATTAGGAAAATTTACCAAGCATTCCAACTGCGGTCCATTTGAAAGGAACCTGTCTGGGACTTACCTGTTTTCAAACTATAGCTCACAGGTGAACCTATTTACTTACCGCTGTATGGTATTCCTATCGAAAAACAACATACCGTTGTTAATCTGAGCCTACATCATCTGCATAATCTACATCTGGAGGCAAGGAAAGAGATGGAGGAAATCCGTCTAAACACCACCAGCATTCAATGGCCACATTGGACATTTTTTGGGGGATTTTCAATCACTCCTTTTATCATATGTGCTGTTTTCTTCTTGTTTTCTTTAGGTCGTAGAAGTTCAAATGTTGAAGTCCAAGTACACCAACAAGA